CGGCGGGAAGCACCATGCGGAGATCCTTGGCGAGCTCCAACATCTTCTCAAAGACAAGCGCGTTATGGCCATCGTGACCCATGCACGGATGCACGGCCTTCACCAGCGCCAAAAGCGCACTCCTGTATGCGAGGGCCGATTCAGCATCACCTCTCCGCCTCACCGCAAACTTTTGGCGGGTGTTCAGCGGCGGCCATCTGGTCAAACGCCTGCATGAGGGTGGACCTCTCGGACGGCGGGATTACGAGGAACGCTGCTAAAGCATCGTCATCAAGGGCGGCGGGAAGCGCCTTCAACGCGTCCGCCTCCGACCACCCCGCCAAGTCGACCACCCAATCTCCGCTGGAGGCAACAAATTATTTAATGAAAGGCAGCCAACGGCGGAGCGACTGGACGTCAAATGACGAGGACGTCTCCGCTTCAAGCTTGGCGGGCTCCGCGCTCCCTATCGGCGGCAAAATGGCACCCGCGAGTGCGGGCAGCGGCAATGATGTTCCCGCCCTGCGGAAAATGGCGGCCAAGTCGCCTCGTTCAAACAGCTCCACTGCTCCTTCCTTCACCGTCAAGGGAAAGGACCGCATCTCGACGAGGATGGAGGACGCCGCTTGGAGGTCAGCGAGACGGCCATGCGCGTCCCTGACGAGCTCAACAGAAGGCGTGGCGCACCGCGCCCCGGCTGCGCCCTGCTCTGCGGTCAGCGTCTCCGCTCCGTCCTCGGCGGCCGTGGGTGGAATTAGCTCCTCGTCGTATTCGTCATCCGACGCCCGCACACAAACTCTGCGACATGTAGACATATCTCGTCTACCGCTAGCGATAGCCTAGCAAGTTGGCCACTTCCGACACCAGTTATAGTGAGTCCAACTGAGCAACACTATTTATTAACACCAACACGTAAAGTAACACGAACTACGCTCGGGTCTCGAATGCTCATCTAACCACGCTACAGCAGAACTAGACACGGTTCACTATCCCGGTTCGGACCACAAACTGGGTCCCGGACCACGTGGCTAGAGGCTTCTTCTCCCCGACGTGGATCTTCCAACACCAACACTTGAAGAACCCCGAGCTCCTCACAAAGCTCTCATTATATGCTCCCGGGCTGGGGCTGGCTCCGCCCTCAGCCCCGCCCACCTTCCTGGCTTCTCGAGCTCCTTCTCGAATGTTCCCGAGAGCCCCTCGGAACCACGTGACCGCCCCTCGGCCCCCGTCCACTGGTGGCCCCCCTCCAGTATCGTCCGGTCACATGACAACAGGTGAGCCAGAGTGTCATGCCCCAGAGTAACCCTGGCTGGCTGATACTCCCTCTCGCTCCCTCACTGGGAGCTGGCACCACACACTGCTCGCGGTGCCTCCGCGCTAACCAGCGCTCACCCAACCACCGCTAGATTTGGCAGTGCAGCCCATAACCCGGGCTGCCCGTAATGACGTTACCGGCCGTGACTTCGCAAGCCCAGTACCATACAGTAACAAGTACAGTCACTACACATTTATGCCAATGAAGCATGCAACACTCTACAAAGAGAGAAAAACGTGAACACAATCGACATGGTAAAATTTACACGATAAAAATAATAAATTCGTGACTCAAATCATGAAGCTGAATCATGACTTCTGGAGGAGGGTGCAGGGGGGCACCTCTATAGAGACAACAGGGCTGCAGATTGTCCCATAGCAGCTGCTTTTACATAGAGGACTGATGCAGGGGTTGAACCAATGCACCGGGGGGTTGAGAGTAAGGGCGCTGAACCTCCAGGCAATTCTTCAACATCACACCGTTTCCATAAATCCCTGAGGTCATGCCTACAATTACCGGGTCAGGGAGTGTCCGGATATAGAGGACACCCTTCTAAATTACTAGGACAATAACCCACACCATGCTGAATAATTGATGCGGAGGGGCTGCGGTAGGATGAGGTAAGAGATATAACAACATGCTCTCATTGGCTGATGTACAGCACATTGCGTTAGGGCTTTTAAGGCTGCTCCCTGCGTACTTCGCCAAGGGAGCAACATAAATCTGAGTGCTTTTTAACACTTGGCTCTTTGAGCATCGAGACATTATAAAGCATTTAAAATGTTGTAATAACACTTTGATAATTCTTGCATCTGGTTGCAGAGTTCCTGTTAAAGTTTGTTTTGGTGAGCCAAACTGAGGACATGTTTCGAGTGTATCTCAGCATTTCTACATCTAGTGCTGTAAAATACACGTGTAATCAACAAAAAAAACATTTGGATTTTCATAATTATTATAATATTGTCCCCCTTCTAAAATCATTGGTTGCACACCTACATTGCCAATCCTGAATGTGGTGCCAATGATGGAAATTCCATTTTCATACACGTTCCTACATTGGTGAGCAGGTTATGTGCAACGCATGGCTATACACATCCTCAAACATTGGGAAGATATTCGTCATTTTTGTTTCATCGATTCAGGGAAGCACTGTTGAAAAGGAAGTGTGGTGTTGAAGGTGTTCAACAAAGAAATGGGACAGATGACCTTCTCTGTTGGCAGCCCTGAAGCAGTTTTGTAAATTAAGTAACTCTATTAACATTTTTTTTATTTTACCAGGTAAGGCCCACTGAGCTATATAGCTCTTTTTCAGAAGTGACCTGGCCACAAATGATAGCCCAATGAAGTGGCTTATCATGGGGACATTTCTAGCAGCCAAATACTCTAAATGCATGTTTCTAAACGTGGAAGGAAAACCCGGAGAACCAGGAGAAAAATAGATGCAACCACAGGAAGACCATGCAAACTTAAAATATACAGACGTCAGGGTCGGGATCGAACCCACGATCTCCTGGAAATGTGGCAAGATGTTAACACATTCTCATGGCAGAGGCTAGTTTATCCATATGGCTTGCGATGCCAGCCAGTGCCTCTTTATTAAAGCCATCACAACAGAAAGGTGGGGCCAGCATCAGATTAGAAAGACTATGTTTTCCCTATTGTTGACGCGGACACATTGCTACTTCACTGATTTAAAATTGCATTAAGTGGGGGGGCATGGTCACCTACAAACACCAATGACAGTTGTTTCTCATGACCAAGAATTAAACTTGATTATCAAAGATGTCAGCACAGTGTGTAAACCACTGAGCCAGTGCTCTCCATACACACATAGACTCGCACACACATACACGACACAGAACTAGGGCACATAAGTTATAGAAGATTATATTCATGGTGTATAAACCATTTTCTGCAAAGATAGCGTTAACCAATTAATATACTTATCTGTTTAACTAATGATAACTATTCCTTAAAAACTAAATTTTTTTTTTGTGGAAAATAAATAAATATGAGGAATGACTGGCCTTCCCAACAGGAACTACACTTAAAACAAGAGAGGCGGCTATCAACAATACCGTATTTTCCCGCATATAACCCGTGGAGTATACCACTTTTTACAAACAAAACAAGACCCTGCAGAGTATATGGAGGTGCGGGCTATCCCAAAAATATTTTACACGTGTAACATGTCATAACTCTTCTTTGCTTCTTTCGGTAAAGTCACGTAGAATGAGAATAAAATAATAAATTGATAAAATAAAAGAACACAATAATATTCTCACGACGTTTCGGCCACAGCACTGTCCTACCAGACAGTCTCGTCCCTTCACCTGATGAAGGCCGCTTGTGTTGTGGCCGAAACGTCGTGAGAATATTATTGTGTTCTTTTATTTTATCAATTTATTATTTTATTCTCATTCTACGTGACTTTACCGAAAGAACCAAAGAAGATGAATCATTGCAGTCACGAAAGCTTTAAATCGAAATGTCATAACTCGTTAAATGTTTTCATGGTAGGACTATCCATAAACCACTAACACTAAAATTGCACATGTTATCACGTTTTTAATTATTCGAATTGTTTGTACAATGTTACATTTGCCCGTAAACTACAGTAATACTTTCAGTGGTTGTAGGGGGGTGCGAAAGTTTCAGCTGAGGCTATGGATTGCACAATGGGAAGAGCCTTAACAAGCGTCTACCAGACGCGGAATCATAATTGCTGAGTCCCTTAGGCCGCTGCTTACGGCTGAGCACTATACAGTCGCGACCATGAGCTTTGTTTCAAACTTCCAATGGCTTTGTTGCCAGGAGGCAATTGCGTTTCCGTAGTGCCGCTATTGTCTGCGCAGTGCGCAATCTACCAGTGCTAAAACTGTACAGGGGTAACTACCGGTCCAGTGGCTGTAATATGATGAGGTCAAATGCTGGTAAGCATAACAGTACGCTTTCTTACTTATCTACCAGTTATGTGTTACTTATTTTTTGGATATTTACTTTTATTACTTATTTACTGTTTTAAGTTGACTCGTTTCCGGTTAGTTTGTTTTCTTTGTGCACGTTATGATTTTAATGTTAACAATTGATAGTGGAATGTATTACAAATGTAAACTTTGTTTAAATATGATGAAATTAAGCTGCGGTAACGACGTTAAAGATATTAATGCATGCGGGGTATATGGAGGTGCGGGCTATCTGAAATTTGTTTCACACAAAACGCAATTTTTGTGGGGTATATGCGTCTGCGGGTTATATGCGTATGCGGGCTATATGCAGGAAATTACGGTACTTTACAAAACTACAACAAAACTTGGAGGTAGGGCAGTGCAGTGGTGACGTTTGTGCCTCACAGAAAAATGAACCTGGGTTCATATCCCGACTCAGGCGAATTTCTGAATGGAGTTTTTATGTTCTCCCCCTGTTCTTCATAGCTTTTTTCCAGGGTCTCCAGTTTCTTCCAAAACCTAAAAAAAACATCCCGTGGCTGGAAATGTTCCTACAAATTACCCAATTTCGATTACACATAGCAACTTTGCCATCTGCTGTGAAAACTTGGTAGGAATGTCCTGAAAAAGTATTGAGGCTCATTGGGGCCTCCCTGGATAAATACGTAGAATAATAAGTGCTGAGCATTAAATTGGAGTGGTTTATTAAGCCCGTGAAAGGGACAGCGATAAGTACACGTGACCGGGCACCTTCTCACCAGGTGTGTAGGCGTAAAGCACTCCACGGCCGCCTCCACGGGCTCCAGTGACGCAGCACAGAGTGGATCTGGGTTCACCTCCCCAGCGCTCCCGCTACGGTCATCCACAATCCACACGCGAGCCGATCCAGGCTGCCTGGAAAGTGGGGCACTCCTGCTGCATGCATCCATGCTGAACATAAAAACGCCATCAACATCAGGTCGCATCTCTGTGTATATAAGGGCCTGGAGTGTGGCATGCTCAATATTATGCCTAATTGAATGGAAGCGATGGTTGGATCACTCCAGCAATGAGCTACAGCACAGGGTCTACATGCTCTCGCAGTATGGCTACTATCTGCATTGTTTTACCAATCAGCCTCAATGATGAAATGCATCAGGTTAAGACAGTAGTTGCTACAACTATGACTGCTCTATACACCTCTCTAATAATTATTACTACAAAAGCGATATTCACCACTCGAGCGATATTCCGTCTGCTTTACTAAACTGTTTTCTTGGTATTGAAGGATGGTGCAAATGATTTAATATTTATGTATGTATGTTGAACTTAATTCGCACTGTACGTAGCCAACCGTTCTAATCGGTGCAGGTCACCAAACTAAACACATATTCCAGTAAAAAATTTTTTTTTTAATAAACATGTAAAATATTGATTCACCCAGTTTATTATTGCTATATATTAGCCGTGAAATTAAATACTGCCCCCTCCATTGCTCTTTATCGATAAGATAATGCTATGTTTGGCTAAATATGAAAGAACTAAAAAAGATTGCTCGCCAAGTGAGCTTTGTTACACTGCAGGTTAAATATACATAACCCATATATAATTGTCTTAACAAGGACCTGGCTAACCTCCAGTGTCAGACTCAACAACAATACATTGGGAAGTCAAATTTTGTGGTAAACTGTATTTTGGCTGGCATATCTTACGGATGACAAGCCAATGGTCAGTAGGCAGATCAGCTTCCATGGTAAGTCCTGGTGTCAAGAACATGGGACTGCATTCGCTGTTCTGTCAATGCAGATGTTCTTGATTGGACCCGGCGTGCATCCATGATGTTGTGTGGATGCGCCGATTCCGGAACAGCGTATTTGTGATTACAAGCCTATGGGCTGCACATAAGTCTAGCAACCTCCTACGGTTGTTAATAAGCTTGCCTTCCAATTACTCGGGCCCACTCCCAACAACAATCGCCGTTCGCCACGAAGTGGCGGTGACGCACCACATCGCTTGTCCCAGGCTAGATACACTTTGAGGCCACCTGGAGTGTCTAAGGCTCGCTGACAGATCACAGGACAAACCCAGGTGTTGGGGGTTGAGTGACCGATATCACTGTCAGATGCATAATCTGCGCTCCCTACTGTGCCAACCTGCTGTATTTTAGTCGCCCGGCGTTTCGCTCGTTGCTGTGAGCGTCGCTCCTCTGCCCTCCGCTGTTGTTTGGAGGGCGACTGCCTCCAACTGCCCAGTAGGGTCCTTTACGAGCCTCCTCACCCACGCTCACTGCCTGATGCTCAATCACTACTTCACCCTCACTCTCACACTCCCTCCACTCACGCTCCCTCACGCGAACTCATTCTTTCACAAAACCTCATTCTCACTCTCACTCCTTGACGCACGCTCGCTCTCTCACTCCCCTCAGGTGCACTCACCCACTCTCTGACGCTCCATCACTCCCTCAGGCTCACTCACCCACTCTCTCACGCTCCCTCACTACCTCAGGCTCACTCACTCCCTCACGCTCACTCACTCCCTCAGGCTCACTCACTCCCTCAGGCTCACTCACTCCCTCAGGCTCACTCACTCCCTCACGCTCTCTCACTCCCTCAGGCTCTCTCACTCCCTCACGCTCTCTCACTTCCTCAGGCTCTCTCACTCCCTCACGCTCTCTCACTCCCTCACGCTCTCTCACTCCCTCACGCTCTCTCACTCCCTCACGCTCTCTCACTCCCTCACGCTCTCTCATTTCCTCAGGCTCACTCACTCCCTCAGGCCCACTCACTCCCTCAGGCTCACTCACTCCCTCAGGCCCACTCACTCCCTCAGGCTCTCTCACTCCCTCAGGCTCTCACTCCCTCACGCTCTCTCACTCCCTCAGGCTCACTCATTCCCTCAGGCGCTCTCACTCACTCAGGCTCACTCATTCCCTCAGGCTCACTCACTCCCTCACGCTCACTCACTCCCTCAGGCTCACTCACTCCCTCACGCTCTCTCACTCCCTCAGGCTCACTCCCTCAGGCTCTCTCACTCCCTCACGCACTCTCACTCACTCAGGCTCACTCATTCCCTCAGGCTCACTCACTCCCTCACGCTCTCACTCCCTCAGGCTCACTCACTCCCTCACGCTCACTCACTCCATCACGCTCACTCACTCCCTCACGCTCACTCACTCCTTCAGGCTCACTCACTCCCTCAGGCTCTCTCACTCCCTCAGGCTCACTCACTCCCTCAGGCTCACTCACTCCCTCAGGCTCACTCACTCCCTCAGGCTCTCTCACTCCCTCACGCACTCTCACTCACTCAGGCTCACTCATTTCCTCAGGCTCACTCACTCCCTCACGCTCACTCCCTCAGGCTCACTCACTCCCTCACGCTCACTCACTCCATCACGCTCACTCACTCCCTCACGCTCACTCACTCCTTCAGGCTCACTCACTCCCTCAGGCTCTCTCACTCCCCAAAGTAATGTAAACGCCGCCCGTTACCATAGCAACGGCGCGGCGGCTACACCACCACGACACCAAACTCGAGTACAGACAACGCACATCTCCCCCGCAGCGCCACAGCGAGCGGGGCAGCTCACGCGTGCGAGGATAGTGGCGCGGGGAGCGGGAACAGCAACGGATGGGAGGGAGCAGCGGCAGCAGCAGCAAGGAGACGAGGGGAGGAAAAAGTGGAGCACGATCCCCCAGCGCGGCCATCGCGTCCTCACCTCGCATCGCGTGATGACGTCACGCCATCGCGGCGCCGTGACGTCATCGCGCCCGCGCGAGAGGGGGGCTGGGCACGTGGTCACGATAAAACCGAGCAGTTGTGAACTCGGGTTGTTATTAAAACGGTAAACCGGTAACCGTTTTCAAAGTTGATTACCGGTTTCCAGAATCAAAGTAATGTTTTACACTGGAGGAATCCGATGAGCTTTAAAGCAATTTTTCATAGATGTCCAGTAGTGGCAGGGCAGAACGTTACAACTAAAAAAACAATGAAAGTAGAGAAAAGGTAAGCAAAGTACTTAAATATATACAAATAAAACTAAGCTATTTTTATTATCAGATAAAGCTTTTTCAGTTCCAAAAGTCAAGCACCGGTGGTTGCCCTGCAGTTCCCTCACCGATTAGCACGGTTGGCTACGTACGGTGCGAAAGAAATTCAACATACGTGCAGTACATGCTGTTCAGTTCAAAGTTGATGGCGCAGCCCTGCAATTTTTCATTCAAACCACTGCTGGCGGAGGGAGCTCTCGAGGGAATTAGTCTCCTCTTCCCTGGAATCGGTCGTATTGTCATACCCACTGTCTCACCGCGGCTGTGGTGCACCCAATACAAAAGGTGACGTCATGTTGACATGCACAGCGTGCTGACATTCGTGTTGTCGTTTGCTGTTTGAATACACAGTATAAGCGCGGCATAATATACTGTATATGCAAATACTATGCGCAAATAACTACTTTCGAATTTCCGATGTGTTGCAAAACGGCTTATTGAAAGTATTTGGCAGCTGTGAATTTCCACAAGATAATCCACTTCGTTCAGTTATCATTTGTTGCCAGGTCGCTTATGAAAAATAAGTATATCTCAGTGGGCTTTACCTGATAAAATACATCCAGTAGTTTATTTTAGATTGATTTCCTTACCTTTCTTATATTTTTACTCCTATTGTGTTTTGTACTGTAACTTTCTGACCCGCCCCTACTGGACATCTTTCAAAAAGAGCTTTACAGCTCATCGGATTCTCCCCAGTCCTGTATCAACAAAGATAATTAAAAAGCGTTTTCTCCCCCAGATAAGATGGCTGCTGTGTTTACACGTCGGTTACGCGGGGCGGGGTCCCGGCGGCCATTTTTCTAGGGGAAGGCTGCCTCTCGTACGTCACCAACCCGCGACGCGCGACTGGTGAATGCTGGCGGCTTCCCCCTCGGTAAGATGGCGCCCCTCGTGTCCGCCCGCAGCACGTGACCCCGCCCGCGGCCTCTCCACTACCTGCTGCGAGACGGCGCGGCGACAGGCGAGAAGGCGGCGGCGGCGGTTGGCGTGAGAAGGAGGAGGCGGAGGAGGAGAGACGGCGGCGGCGTGAGAGGTGAGCGCTCTGCGCGGCGGCTCCAGAGGCGGAGCGCGGTTCTACAAGCCTCTCGTTCGCGCCTGAAAAGGAGCTCGCGCGTCGCGCTGCTGTAAGACACCCGCCAGGGCGGGCGAGGCGACTTCCAGCCCCGCCTGACGTGGGCCGCGGGTGGCAAAGGGAGCGGCGTCTGCAGTCGGGGAGAGGCGGCGGCTGCGTTATCGCCTCGCCTTGCGTGACACAACCAGCATCATCACCACTACCGTATCACGTAATTACCACAACACCATGAACACGACCACATCATTACCACCAACACCGCCACATCATCACCGTCACATGTCCACTTTACCACATCACGATAATCATCACCACTATCATCGCAACCACATCACTACCACATTACCACCAATACCACCAACATCACCAACATCACTAAATCCCATCTGGCTGAGGGCCACTTGGCCGCCTCGTGTCTATGGAGTGGGGGGAGTTCCGGGAAGACGCGAGGCGACTCGGCTCCTCATCCTCGCCGACATGCGGGGATTCCTTCCAGCCAGGACAGACAAGAGACATGCGTAGAGACACGCAGGCAAAGACACAACCATATATACATACCAACAGGCATCTAAAATACAGACATTGAGGTATACAAAAACATTCACCTACGGATAAAAAGACGAAGACGTTCAAATATACACGTAGACAGACATGGATATACGGACATATAAAGACGTATAGACATATCTAAACATTACAGGAATACACAACAACGTAAAGATACAAGGCATGGACCAATAGATAGACATATACTGTACTTTAATTTACTTACGTTTATTTTCGTGAAATAGCCATGACTAAAGTATGTTTTAATGGATAAGATTGTTTCTATGCCAAAATGTGAGAGTCTATCCCCATGACCGTGTTTTTATAGGCTGTAACATTTTCCTCAGTGGAACCGTATGGTATTGCACAAGGATACAGTTTGGAAAAAACCTTAGGGCTCATAAAGGTTACACATGTCATCTTGGTCGCATTAAGCAAGTCTTAGGGATATAAGAGCCTCTTCAATGATATTGAGATCCAATTGTATTGTGTTTGCATTTAATTAACAAATGGTGCGGAGATATGATGAATCACGTCACGGGGCAACAGGATATCAGAGTGAGTTTTTAACCAATATTGCAATGGAATTGCTGTGCATCTCTGATGTGAGTGGCACTTTTGGTGGATGATACAATTTGAGTAAGAGAGAAGTTATCGTATGAGCGACTATAACTTATTTTGTCTGTGATAGTATCCAAAGGTAATATGATGAGTTTGCCCAGAGTCTCATTCACTGGTAATCTTTAAAAACCTACAGATACTGGGCTGAATTACTGCTCACAGTGATTTTTATTTGTGGAAGAAATACGGACTAGGTCTGGTGTCGTGGTACAGCTGCGCAGCTGAAGCAGTATCAGCAGGACCTGAATGAAGCATCGATGTGATAAATGTCCGGGGCGTGAAGCTTTCTGTGACAACCTGATGTCCTGATCCACACAAGTTGACTTGGGGATGAGGACATCGTCACACTTAAGCAGTGGGATCATTCTGACTGTGGGTGCAACCTGGTCATGAGAAGTCAAAATGTCGCAAGCCACCCTTGCGAGGTCTGTCGTACAGATGCCACAGCCAGAGTGAAAACTACTGATTCATTGTCCAAGATGTAATCGGGGGACCTCACTGGAACAACTGATAGGTCACCCTTCACCCATTTACAGGCCACTATCTCAAATAGGACAAAGTGCAGTGCATGCGTATCTCTCTTGTTAGTGACTCGTTGTGGCATGTTCCTATCACGTTCATGCTTTTATCAGAGTTGTAATCGGCTACATTGACGAGAGCCTCCCAGGTATGAGGCTGGTCAGTCACTTTAGTGATGTTGCTGCTCGCCAATGCAAGACCTTCGGCCAGCTAAAGGTGAGTGCTGAGTGAATATTCTTGACTGAGCTTAATTATTTGATCTGCCTCAAAAGCAGACCATGCTCTTTGGTTCTATTGGGTAAAGTCACATAGGTGAAAATAAAATAACAAAAAATCACGACGTTTCGGCCACAACACAAGCGGCCTTCATCAGGTGAAGGGACGAGACTGATGAAGGCCGCTTGTGTTGTGGCCGAAACGTCGTGATTTTTTGTTATTTTATTTTCACCTTCGTGACTTTACCCAATAGAACCAAAGAGTATGGATCCTAGCAGTCACGAAAGCTTTAAACCAAGCAGACCATCCTTCCTGACCTGATGACGGACGCTTGTGTTGCGCCCGAAACATAATTTATTTTATTTTATACCTACGTGACTTTACTGAAAGAACCAAAGAGTATCTTAATTATTTGGTCTGATCCGTATCTTCCACTACAACAACATAAAATCCAAAGCTGGATGTGGGAATCTCCCAGAATGTTGTTGGAGTTGACGTGGAATGATCCAATAGTATTTAAGGTGTTCACGGAGGCTGGGGCGGCTCAGTGGTGCGAACAGCGGCAGTGCGTTCTTGGAGATCCACGAGGTTAAGCAGGCATGGTCTGAATTCACGAGGAGACAATCTTGAAAGAGCGCAATAATCTCCTACAAAGGGCAGTCAGTTGTATGGCCTTAGCAGAGACCAGGTTGGACTTGGTCATGAACACCTTGAAGGAAATTTGGTTTTGGCAACTGTTGGCACACTGCTATTCAAGCTGGCCTCTCTTCTTCCAGGGTGTTATATAGTCCAACAGGGACCCCTGCTCGCAGTTTGTCACACAACCAACTGCATTATCCATATTACTACATGCAAAGTCTTCCAGCATCCTCACATTCACAGTTCCTACTGATACCTGTGCTAAAGAGGCATAAGCCCTGTCCTTAACAGCTACCATCGGCTTGATTTACACACGTTAATTCTCCAATATGCACTCTCACCCAAAACAAAACCTGCAGTGCACCAGCTAAAGTTATTTGACCTATTGTGATTGCCGAATGTTTTGCTGTCTTTTACGGTTTTAGCAAATACGATCAAGAATGACATTAAATTAAGTAGCCAACAAAAACTACACCTTTGCAAATCACTACTCAACTAAAAATTCTGATACCTCTCACTTAAAGTATCAGGCAAGTCTGAAGCTCATCGCAAACATAGCTATAAAATAAAGAACAACAATGTCAGAGCAGAGCAAGAACAGCAATGCGGGGTGAGCTGAGTGGCACAATTTGCCTCATAGCAAGGATAATTTTCTCCAGGAGAATAATTTTGGCCACTGCAGAAATGGTATGTGTGTATTGAAAACTGTTATTCACTCCCCAGGTATTTTTTTGTAATTATTATGATGCTTGTTTACCGAGGAAGGCCTCATTGAGTCGATATACTCTTTTCCGGAGGGTCCTGCCCATTTTTTTCGCATTAGCTGTCGATGTTGCTACAGTGTGTAGTCCCAATTAAATAATTTGCAGGTAATTTTCCAGCTTTGAGATTTTTGGCCTATACCAGTTCCAATGGGCTTTTTTTAGCTATGGAAGGAAACTGGAGAATCCATAGGAAATCCATGCAAATAGTGGGTGAACATACAAACGCTCAGGAATCTGACCCAGGGGCTTTCTGCTGCAAGGTCCGAGTGTTACCAATGTGCCACCCTTAAACACAAGTTTACTTCCCTGTCATGGTTAACATCAACGGTGAATAATATCTGAACAGGCCATGGGTCCATCTTCCTTAAACTAACCCGCACTGACTACCGTGTTGAAGTGTGGTCACGTAACCACCACAACCCACACAATATAAGGAGGCCCTCGTCCGGCAGAGGATTTATGAAGCATGTAGAATAATTGAAGTCACCATGCTAGGAATACACGTGCTGGTTGCAGGAGGGCAGGCCTCCAAGAAGGGCACTGGAGGGGGCAGACATTATCGCCAGATGGTAAGATACTCTGAGAGTGGACCTTGGGGAGCAGCTGTCAACTTTACAACTGTGCTATAAAGCAAGAGGGAAGAAGGCAATGGTAAGGTGTGGTGGCATCAACCGCATTAGCCTTTATCACCTCCCGATCATAACATTTTTAAGGAGCATTTATTCACCCAGGGAAGTACTCTTCAATACTATTTTATCTTTTACTGATTGGCTCGGCCATGGCTTGGCTCAGGCCTGGCTCAGGCCCGGCTCATGGATATTCTGAGCTTGGCTTGGATCATGCTCAGATCCATAGTGGTTCAACTTAACCAATGCTCGTGAACTCAGACCTGCTCATGTGAACCCACAGTGTGGGCTCGACACAGTAACTTGTGCTTGTCGGGGGCGCCAGCGCACCGCAGGACTCGATGGCAGGCAGGCGATTGGGCAGTTGCCCGCACCATCATTAAGGGGAAGTCACGTGACCGGCTGCTAAAAATACTTTAACAGATTGGCATTGCGGTCGAGCCAAGGAGAGGAACTGCGTTCATTTTCTTGCTCCTTACATCAGAGTTGTGGCTGATGCTGTTGGCACCATCATGGAAATTTAAGACGACTCTGGTACGTTTTTGTTGTGCGCCAAATGCACGTCTTTGATAGAGTTTTAAGTCACCATATCCTCTTCTTCTTTTCTATGGCCTATGTAGAGCAACCATCAGATAATCATTTGTGAGTGAATTTGCCATTCAATTGATGGTTTGAGAGTTGGTAGAATTGCAGATTCACCCACTCCATCACATGTATACTTGGGGCAGTGTGGAGTTATAGTCCATGGTTTGGAGTTTATCACCACAGTCGCACACAGGTGAGTCTTTGATTTTCCACTTGTGCATTGGGTGTCCGTGTCTTCTATAGTTTGTGCTGATCCGGTTAAGCATTGCCTATCGAAGGTGGAAGCCAGGCAGCGTGGTGGTGGGGTCGGGGATCAGACATTTTTTGGGACTTGTTGCTTGAAGCCCACGTGCTCGCGTCATGCAGAGTTTGCGCGTGGTTCTACAACGGCTTTCAGGATCCCAGACGTGGCCGCGGGATGCAGTTTAGATCGTCCTTGATCGACAGGTTTGGGTCGACCACCATGTATGCACATTGCTAAAATATAGCCATGGTCGCACAACGCAGTGAAGTGATGTGATCTTTCCACAGGTGTGATGGATGCACTTGCAAAACGGACACACAAGAAGTAATTGACATATGTGTATTACAACTACTTGGAGAGAGAGACTATTTTTTTAATGAAATGCATGCAGACCATTGCTGTGTGAACAGTGGGCAGCATCTTTTACTTGAGTGAAATTATCCTTGGCAGT